TCACCTGTACCACATCGCTTTCATTTTGGAAGAGATTTGTGCAGAAGCCCCGTCTGCCATCAACGCTGAATAAGAACAACTTGAGCGATTCATAATGAAGTTCGGATGTAGTCAGGAAGTTTGATGCTTCAACATTGTTATTGGCTTTCTTCTTCGAAACAGTGCTGACCGTGGCTAATGTCAAGGTCCTATTTTAGAGGGATAACTCGCGCAGTTCAAAATATCCGCTTAATTACCTTGCTGCCCACGAGTACGCAGATCATATGTGAATAATACAGGAAGGAGGCACCTCACTTGATGGCTTCCCTTTGCAAAACAGCTGCGAAGGCCAGCCTCTTCCTCAACGATATGAGGAACCCATCCGGAACAGCTAATCTTCAAGTGGAACGAAGAGTTTGACAAATTCAATTGTCTCCTATGATGTCAGCATCCAAACAAAGTCAAATAGGAGGCTCGCCCTAACCTCAAGTGCTTTCGGAAATATGTCCAATATTTGGCTTCAGAAAGAAGTTTCTCTTTCTATAAAACTCCACCTTTACCTTGTCATTGTCAGGTTAGCGCTGTTATGCAGCATAATGTCATTTTTTCCAACGAAGGAGCAAAAGCGACAGTTGAACTATGTACAGCAGCGTAGGCTTTGAAGCATAATGAAGATTAGATGGCAGGGCTACCTAGAGGATGACTCTATTGTCTTCCGGGCACAGGTGACATCGCTAGATACGGAGAGAAAGAGACTTGACTTTTTAAACAAGCCCTTGTTCGGCCCTGGCGATGCGCAGGTGCTCAGATACCATGGAGTCGTGACCTGCTTAAATGGACCCCTAGGCCACTAGAAGCAAGGGGACGGTGCTTAGGCCGTTTCAGACCGGTAGCAATAACCGAAACGGATTTGTCCTTTTAAGTTGAACCATTTTCTCCAATGCAAAAAGTTCTGGTTTGGGAGTCAATGCACGGCAGACATCGACCAAGAGCCAACATGCATGCAACACAAAAGAACAAGGTAGAGGCAGATCCGCTTGCACATTGGACCATTTCCTTCTACGATGTAGTAGGCGGTGCCTCATGCAGAAGTTTGAAAAGCTGCGAATACAGCAGACATCATGAGCCAGGGGCGTTTTGCCGATGCAAACGGCGGAAGGTGATGATTTCAACAAGCACAGTACCATACATCCGATCGTCTCAGGTTCCTTGCAGGGCAGGCCTCCGAAACGATCACAGCGTTAACGAGAGAATAGGCTTAATCGCAAATGCCCTTATTCTGTTGGCCACCCGTTCAGCACAATGATGCTAAACGCGGACTCACAGATGACAATATTGGAGATACACCGCCTTGTGGCGAAAATGTCGAATACCCCTAGCTTGACAGGATCGAGCAGAAGGGCAATAGCCATGATTAACCGCCTTGACGATCTTAAACTGGCTAGAGCGTAAGAATAGAGAGAATCTGAAAGTCGAATAGGTGACTAAATCGAAATACGTTAAGCCGTACGTTGATCATGTCACGTGCATAATATCGGCAGCCATATTTTCAGAGCATGCGATATGAATACTGATTAGATATGGCTGAAATGATAGCACGGATTACAGCGCACTATGAACAAGCGATAGCTACTTACATGGTATCTACTCACCCAAGTGCCCGGTCTCGACTATGAAAACTCAACGGGTATCTATCGGGAGCCTGTTGTACACAAAGAATTACCGAGACGACATCAGACTTTCAGAAAAAGCCCTAAGAAGAAAAACCGGCAGAAGAAGTCTCGCCTTTCATGGATATGAGATGATGTTATATAGAGAAGTAGAAAAGCGCAAGAAAAATTCCGTAGTCAAATCTGATCAATCTCCATTCTCACAATGCAAACACTGCACAGTTTGTTTTTTTATTCACCTCATGATTTTGAGGGTTTCGAGATTCGATCGATTTTGTGCTGTGCAGGTATCTTGCCACCAGGCCCTTAGCAGGTTGTGGTCAAGCTTAGACGTCCGACGGAAAATCGGACTCAGCATCAAAGCTGAGGATCACTGAAGCAGACAAAGGCCGCACGCCGCGTTTCTGACAACGGCAGGCACCCCGTATAGACGATGTCACAAAACCGTCGCACTTACCGATGTGAACCACGCCCACGTGCCTCGTTGAACGGTAAGTGACGATCGCCTTGGTGTCGTATTTCCACTGGACCGCTGACGTACTGAGGTCGCGTAATGTTTGACTGCTTGAGTTCTTTCGCTTGCTTTTCTGCTCGAAGCGATCAAAGCAGACGAAGACGACGGGGCAACGACTGCCTGAATTCAGACAACGCTCGCTACCACTAGACGCTGTTCCGTTGGCAGAGCCTAAGTGACGGCGAGCATCACACACTCGAAACTGTCCTTGCAAAAACAGGCATAGACGGGGAAGAAATGAACGAATGAGTGAGTGAAGTGAGTGAAGTGAGTGAGTGAGTGAAAATAACGGCCAAGTCGTTGAAGAAACGGTGAAATTATATTATAAGCGATCGCCAAATGTCGAAACCGGTCGTCCCATCGGTCAGCCGAAAGCATATAGACAATGTGACGTCACCAGCTACCCGTAGGTGCATGAATTTTGCCGCATGAGCGCAATGAATGATGAATAGCCGTAGGGGATAAGTAATAGGAAAGTACGGGAGCCGACGCTACGCTCTCGCCCAGTCCGCCCTAAGCAAGGTATAACGAAAGCCTGCGGCAGAACGAAACGTTTTTTACCCGCATATTTTACTGTTTGGCGCTTACAGCCACTATTTGAAGACTGATTAATTCACGCATGCTCCTCGTAACTGAAATGAAGGTAGATTCATCAAATACTTTTACAAAGGGACGGATCTACAAATTTATTGAGGCGAGCTATCACTGATTGTTGAACATTTACCTCATCCGTATTTGATTCGCAGGTAAATATTTTCGAAGTCTAATAACCATTAAAAGCCGCATCAGTTAGATATATGACGTTGATCGTCAAGTTGTATTAGCATTCAAGTAACGAGTTTACAACCATGTCTTTTAAGCAATTACAGGACCTGGAAAAGTTAGTTTGTGTTTCTCGAGTGGGCTCGTTTTTCACAACCTGTGGTGAATGGCCCAGTTCGTCTGCTGAGATAGCAATTTTGATAAATCACTTTTTCAGATCTCATAAATCAACCTTTTATGTCTCCGTACTATTTACCAATTAAAGGTATTTAAGAGAATAAGATGGGATTTAGGCAGTAGTCATTAATTCAACTCTTAGAATTACATTGCCTTTGTTTGATTAGTTCAGTACGAAATATAGTCATTGTAAAGTTCTGCAGCAATCTCGCATCTGAAGGAAGTAAACCACTGGTACCGCATTACATACCTAGCATAGTTAGTTGTCCTTCTGGGTAAAGAGTTTTAACAGATGCCGGATTTGTGGCTTGTCTTTGAAAGGGACCTGAAGATGCTAGACTCTCAATGTTGAATCGAACTGAGACATCAAATGAGGAATATTTCATCCAACTTCGAGATGTAAACGAAGCATCGATCTTCATTTAAAACATCTTGTTTTGTTGAGCTTCCAAACAAGTTCTTATGTACCATTTACGATCAGCCCTGGTATGGCACCAGAATTAGAGCTTCCAGAAAATGTTAAATATTACTAAATCTTATTGGAAAGATAAATATACGGTGAACTAGACTTATCTCGTTCTTTGTTAGGGAAACAACAGCGCAAAATATCACAACAGCTACTAGATGACAAAGTTTGAGACCCTCTTGGAACTTAGCATAAAAGAAATGCTCTATATATATAAAACAATTAAAGGAATGCGTTAATAAAAGGGTAATACGCAAATTAATAGTGTTTAAATTCATAGGTTATTAATATGAGATTGATTCGAGCAGGTTCAGGCTTAATGCTCCTCCTTCTGCAGAGTCTGAGCCACCTTGAGGTCGATACAGATTTTCCAGCATAGCTCTAATATGAACCTCGAAAATCCCGCATTGAGAAGCATCAATTCAATTAGCACAAAATAATCTCTTGTAACCCAGAGCCCTAGGCAAACGGTTACTTTCACTGCAGGCGCTTTCACTACGTCCTATGCACTGCAGGCGCTTAAATACCATGGAGCGGTGCAATATTGGGGCACCCGGTGTAAGGCTTTCAAACGTCTTACTTTACCGCAATGTTCGTGTAAAGTAAGAAATAAAATTTTCTTTCTTTTTGCTGTGCTTTTCCGCCATATTATATTGGTATCAATATTTAATTGTAACATCATATCGATGGGCGGTATCGGACGTTTCCTGTTTTTGAAGCTACCCCATAACATCTGGGTTATATTTTTCACTTATTAATAATTAATTTTATTCGAAGATATAGTAATTGGTTCGTGCGTTGGCGGCCATACTGAATAAATAGTGTAAAACACGGGCTACTTATAGGTCTTCTGGTTCTGAAACTATCGACTGCTGCGGACGACCAAGTACATTCGCGAAACTTTACCATTAACCTACCTTGAAGAAGGCCCGTGAGATACGGGTCAAGCGTCAGTATTGGTCATAGATTTGAGTTCGCACCATAAAACTGAGAAGTCGAATAGCCGAGCCCCGTATCTCCCCTTTCTCTACTTCTTCAGTAATCCAGAACTTGTTTAAATCCGTTCTATTTCTTGTCCTCACGGTAGTTAGTGATTATGAACACAATGCCTTTGGCTTGAACGTAAATCTCTCTACGTGGGCCCCAAGCCCGGGTGGAAAAGGAAGAGGGATTGCGACCGTGGCCAAGTCTCCCGTAAACATATCCATTCGCCACTCATGGTAAAGCCGCTATCAAAAGTCACACCTGCTCCGTCGTTTCCAAACGTTACCGAGGGATGCAAGGATCTTCGGGAAGTGAGACATAACACGAAAAGTCAGAAATCACAACTTGTTTCTCGTCTTCTGGCACTGGAAGGAAGGGGGGAAGCAGCAGCACGGCGACGACTGCCGCCGATCAGCGAAATGGCGACGAAGAAATCAATCTGCGAAGGAGCCGCTATCAGTTCTGAGCGATTATACATGCCATTATGGCACTCACGTAATGTTCCACAGTAACGATACTGGCAATGGGAGCTAACATCTGGAAATTGGAAGATCTCATGACTCAGAAGGAAAGTGCAGGACCAAGTTGATGTGGTCGTAAGGTTCGGACTGTTCATAGACTCTCCTGAAAAAAAAGCGAGGAGACTGGAATTCTGAACCATTGTGGATGGAAGCAATTATACGCTCAGATGTCGGCATCACGACATGCACTCCGAACTATGTTGATATTTTGCTAGAACCTAACCTAGCTGACAGAATCATTGGATAAAAGCCTCTCGGCGGAAGTGGCAATCCTTCGGCTGAAATACCCCTGACGCTGTTACAGGTCCATGGGTCTAACTTGGAGAAAGAATACGAGTCATTCCAGAAGGTAAGCAGATGTTTTGTACGAAGTGCCGGTTATGGATTCTATCATTTTAATGAACGATTTCAATGTGCATGTCAAAGCAGACATTGACGAGTGAAAAAGAGTGATTGAAAAGAACCGCCCTAGCGACCTCAATAATAACGGCATGAA